TATATATACATATCGTAAAACTTTGACAAATTAAATACGTTATTCTACAGTATCTCTAAAAGTGTTCGGAATCATCAAGGAGATGGTTTATCTAGGTTTTGCAGGTGTAAAAAGTCATCTGTGACTCGGGAGGCGCTCCGAATTTCTAGCATACGGATATGTCAACGCATTATACTCTTTGCATAATCCCATATTATACCGTATAGGCTATATTTTGTGGCAAAACAGGAAAAACAAAACACGCATTTAAATTTTTTTCAAACTTTGCATCATTAAGAAGAACCCCCAGATTATATAATTAACATTGCTCACAGAATATCTGCCCATGTTAAGCTTTACTTTCTCCCTTAAATTCAACTGGAAAAAATCATGCAATCATCCAAAGTTTTAACATTTTTGTAGGCCTACTCCATTGTTTGACTTAATGATGGTACTTGCGGTCAAAGAGATACGTCGTCTATACATACCTGAGTTGTTACCAATTCATGATAAGAATTTAAAAAGACACGCCATAATGTATATTTGTAAAACATCACCCCATCCCGTTTACTGTATCTAGCAGCAACATGTTATGTATCAAGAATTGCTAACGTTATCTGTGATGATTATGTATCAGACAAAATTCCTGCCATGAATACCCGTCTCTAAGAAACGCAATAATTGTGTCTGCCTGGCAGTTTGTCAGATGTAACCATATTTGGTCAGTATCCGAAGAGGAGCATTATCAATTTAACAAACATTTATTTAATCAAAAAAGTCTATCCGTTTCTAACAGACATGTTTTAGATATCTAGGCGAGATGTTTTAGATATATAGGCGAGTTGAATGGCTGAGCGGTTAAGGCAGGGGCGCCGCAACCCACATTCATGTCGGCGCTGGTTCGAACGTCACGCTCGCCTGTGGTTCAGGAGGTGAAACAAGTCTTTTCGGATAAGGACTATAAGCCATAGGGCCAGTGTACAAAAATGGTTCAAGTGCAATATAAAGAACCCAGTACAGCTTTCGAGACGAGTAGAGGGTTGCCCCGGTGTACTGGTTCATACAGCCCTTGTTGACAGACGATCAGAGTAGCTGGTACCGATTTACCGGGTAGCTCAGACACGAAGTGACTTTTAGGGGAGAAGAAAGAGGCTGAATGAGCTATATAGTCCACGTTTTGAGCGCTCTGATCGTCATGAAATAGCGCTATATGTTGTAATGTATAATAATAATAATAATAATAATAATAATGATAATGATAACAATAACAAAAGCAACAAAGATAACAATAACAATAATAATAATAAATAAATAAATAAATAAATTTTTTATTGGTTCTTATTCTAATAGGAAATCTTGAATTTCGGGATGGGCTCATGGGGACCCGCGGCAGCCGCAGTGCAGCGCTACCCAACTTAACTACTAACAGACACAGGGATACAAACGTTGCCCTTAACACGCCTAACTACTAACAGACACATGCGGATACAAACGTTGCCCATAACCCGTGTAACTACTATATAACAGACACATACGGATACAAACGTTGCCCTTATCCCGCCTAACTACTATATAACAGACACATACGGATACAAACGTTGCCCTTAACCCGCCTAACTACTATATAACAGACACATACGGATACAAACGTTGCCTTAACCCGCTTAACTACTACATAACAGACACATACGGATACAAACGTTGCTCTTAACCCGCCTAACTACTATATAACAGACACATACGGATACAACCGTTGCCCTTAACCCACCTAACTCTCAATATGAGAGCTATTCGAGGAGCCAATCAGGATCAGATTCCAATCAAAACCCGACTCTGCCCGTGTTTGAGCCGGGTCTTCACTGCAAGAAGCAGCCAACCGCTCAGTCCTTATTATTATTCGCTATGTCTAAAACAAATATACACTATTGGACCATATCTGAATAAATATTGTCTGTTTAGCCAAACAAAATTATAGGCCTGAGTGTATACCAGACTTCAGGACATGAATAGTGTAGGTGGTAAAACTTATTATGTGTAGACCATGCATTTGCTCGTGTATTAACCATTACAAGTGTTCATGTGATGCCACCATCCATATGCGTGTATACGAGTGTTTTATGCTACGAATAATGACGGGTGTCTGTATGTGTTTGTAGGTCCATTTGTCTTGCAAGTGTGGTGTCACGGTGTGTACATATGTCTTTATGTCTGGGTGTCACCCATGTGTGAATGCCATGCATGTCCATGCCTCATGCAAGCTCCTGTGTCAGGTGCGCGAGTATTTCGTGCATGTACGTCCACCAATGCGTCACGCACGACGTACATATACGTTCATGTGTTAAGTTCTGAACACACTATCAACTTTTATAAGAAAAAAATGTGATATACCCATTTTCGATGTAATACGACATCACCATGCTCATTTGATAGTGTGGACAGAGCTTAACTCGTGTCTGTATGTCGTGTATGTTCATACCCTACGATAGTCCGTAATGCCACTTTCACACATTCATGACTTACTACTATTGAGCAGGATTTTTCAATATTTGAAAGTCACAGTGGCGTCGTAGTAAATTTCTTGGTCTTAATAATTCACCGTAGCGCATCGTACTGGATCTTGATGCCATCGTGACGAAGCACCATTTTTTTTGGAATGTTACAAAAAAAATCGCGCTCAATTGTAGCTGTGAAAACAATTTTGGTCTATCGCAGCAGCATCGTTTGAGTGTCGTAACGTTGTCGTGATTGTCGTGCCGGCGTCTTGTACTCGTAGGAGCCAAGCACCTAGAGCAGGAGCTTACATATGTTGCAGGTTAACACGGTGAAATATCAAAAACTATGGCGAAAACGACAAAAATTAAACATTCATAAATTGCGCATTTTTTGTAATGTGATTAGTCAAATCAAACAGGCGTCTGGGTAAATCGTATTGACGTCCTGCTTTCGTCTTTGTAAAATCGTAGTGACGTCGTAATATACCGGTAGTCTCCTGATAGTGTCATGACAATATGTAAAATTCGATTGAACATTGAAGTACGAAGAGCACGATTTTAGATTTTTAAAATCGTGCTCTATCGTAGCAAATATCGTAAATGTGGTAAAGGGGCAATCACTGATGTGTGTACATCGTGCATGCCCGTGCGTCACGCAAATTTTGGTGTCACGTGTAGTATATCGTGCATGTTGGTGCATCACACAAAAGTGCGGTAGTGCATACCAGTGGCGTATTTAGGGGAGGGCGCGGGGGCGCACACGCCCCCCTGAAATAAATTACTCGCGCCCCTCCTCCAGGCGCCCCTCCTCCAGTCGCACCCCCCCCCAAATAAAATCACGGACAAGTACCTAAAAATCACCTAAAATCACCATATTTTGCGAATTAGCGCCCCTCAACTGATCATCGAGGCCCCTTCCCCCACTTCACCTTCGCGACCCCCATCAGCCCCTCCCCCTAATTCAAGACTTCTAGATACGCCACTGCCTATCATGTGTGACAATTGGTTGTATGTTAAGTGACGAAAGCGCGTGTGATACTCATTGTGTATGTCGTATAAGCGTATCATAAAAGTCGGTCGTTCAATAATATTATAGACAGTCGCCTCAAAATCATATATATTTTATTTTAAATGGCCAGTCAGCCTAAAATCTCCACCTCCCTCTAAAATTCAGTAATTTAATAATGCTCATGTATATTCAGACTTCGTTCTTTCAAACAAAACTGTTCGAAATAAACTAGTTTCTAAAATGTCATTTAAATAGTTCTGTATGTATTGATTGGCTTGATGCCAGAGTATTCTAATGTTTGAATAAAATCTGGAAATATATAAAATAAATAATGTATTTATTATAAATCATGGCTTTATACTCCTCTATTGGTTTAACTTTTTTTTTTTACTTATTTAGGCCTATTTTTTATTTTTTATGTACAATTAGTTTTTTTGAATATGTTTAAATTGCAATTTTTGTGAAAATAATGGTGATATTATAGTAGTTGTGTTAATAATGATAATACTTTATAGGGTTTTATATTGTACAGTTTCTATTTTTGTAATTAATCATCTCAATTCATTTTATTTTGCTATGGTGATGGTGAATAAAATATACCAGAATATAATTTATAAATAAAACTTGTTTTCATCTAAATTAGGCTATATGAAAAGAAAAAAAATATCGAGTATATATATACATTAGGCATACATTTACATGGCCATTGTCCTACGGAATATTGATTTATGTATATAAATTGTGGTTTATTTTATTTATAGTTTTAAACATTTTATTTATCGTTGACTTCACTTAAGTGGTGTGTAAATTATTAAGTTTTTTAGCTTTTTAGCTCTGCTCATCAGAATCATTTTCATCGTTACCAACACCACCAAATTTAACGACACTTGACGCTTCCATTTCGGCCATTGCATTAGTGGCCCTTTGACGAAGAGAATGCGTCCCCGCAGTCTTGGGAAGCTTATAGCTGCTGCTCCCGCCAGCATAAAAACTCGGCTTTGAATCTGATCGTGAAAGGAGAGGAGGGGAGAAATAATTAGCGTAGTGTTTTTCCTTGCTTCCAACTACCTCTATATCAACGTCTGCATTTGGTATTGTTAAATATTCGGACACATCAAAATTAACACCTTTGCAGGTCTTTTTCTTTTTGTCTTCTGTCAGCATCTGTGAGCGAAGATCAGAAAAGTTTAGAAAGAATCCAAGTCCGTCTGGCACACCAAAGGCACTTATTTTACGACGTGGTTTTGGTGTGGCTTGCTCTTCTGTATTTTCACCTTTTCGTCTGTCTATTAGCGTCTTGCGCCTGAGGTCGCACCGCGAAATGTTACCATCTGCGATGCTACTTTGTATATCCCTAACATCCATATGAGGCATAAGTCTCTCCACCAATGTAAGAGTTGAAAGATTTTCTGCATTGATTGCTATGTTTTTGTAGTTGGATTCGTTCCACGCCCCGTAATGTTCACGTTTATGAACTTTATTGCAATGATAGCAATGTTTCGGCCCAAGAACATCACACCATTCCATTGATAAAGCATTGATTTTGTTGGATACTCGTTCACTTGTTACTGCTGACGATGTTGCACGAACACATGGCTTCCGTCGCTTAACAACTGAGTTTAAAAAAGGTCCATTACGATTCCGAGATATTTGGTTTGCTGGGGTGTCTGGATACATTGTCTTAGCGCTATGACATCTCATCGTTTTATGCACAGCACGATGACGTTCATTTGATATCGCTTGGTATTCTTGTTCATTTGCTATAGAAACTAAATCAATTGCAGTCAAGTCAATATTTTCTTCTATTTCGCTAACGAAACTTTGATTCAACCTTGGTGGCGCTGTAGTGCTTCGTGGATAGGCAATTGAATTCTGAGGCGTTGGGGGTCTTGATGGATTTTGCGAATGAAAAGAGGATGCTTCCCACCAGGATGAATAATCAGTTATGGAAAGATCGTCCTGTATCGACTGTGTCTCATTCTCTTTATATAATTCGTTAAATTCTGCCAAATGAGGGAAATATTTCTCCACTGATGGACGACTTAAAACAGTATTAGTTTTCCTCGATTCCCATGCGCCGCCAGCCCTCGTTTTGTCAATTGAGAAATTATTACTTTTAGGTGGACGTTCTCTGACTCGGCTGGGGGGTCGTAAAAAGCCACGACGGAGTGGGTCAAATTTTGAACTTGTTCTTGGGCTAACATTTCCACTTATCACCATCTTAGTCGAGTCCGATTTCGTCAAACCATGCATTCTACCTGTGTGTATAAATAAATTAATAAATTATATTAAAAATAGCACTGGGTTGTGTTCAGTGGAAATCTATTGTTCTCTATTAGGTCAAGTTATTCTTTATAAAGTCTCATAATGAGGCTAAGAGTTATGAGGCTCCAAATGTACTTCCATTATTTAACAAAATTATATACATATAATTCATTGTTTAATATGTTAAATATAGAAAGTACATTTGGCGCCTCATCATTATTTTTAGTCGTGAGAAAAATCCTGCTGTCAAGGAATTGAACGCAGGACTCTAGGATTGGAAGGCATCTTAACCAACAAGCTATTCAACTCCACTCCACCATTACAAGAGGGTATTATATTATTTAGAAGTCATTAAAAATTGGCATTTAAACAAAGGGAATGAATCACATGAGACACCATCACCCGGGGACCGGGGAAAATTGTGACCCTTATTCCCTACTTTCATGGCAATATGTTTTTAAAAGACTTTTCAAAGTGTTATCCTGTTGGATAATATGAGTTCTAGAGCTTTAAATTAATATCATGTCATGTGATTATTTTTCTATTAGTTTATCATACCCGCTGGGCTTAAATGTCGAGTAGGTCTATGTATGGAGCAAATGGAAAAAGCGGATCCCCAAAACCGAGAGGCACCGGACCAAATACTATATACCAACAAACATATCACTGCATTTATTAATTTTGTGATGATCCATTTACCGTACTGTTACTAAACTGTGTTACCAGCTTCCGTAAAATCGTAACACTTTCTCTACAGACAGTTTTCACATTTGGCTAAACCAAACATCAGCGTAGCTGTCCCCGAGGCAATCGGAAAGGCTCCCATTCGACCGACCATTCATCGTCAGAAAATCACATGATGTTATGAGCAGGGGTGGCACCAGCGGGGTCTGGGGCGGGGGGAAGGGCGACACAATTCGTCGGGGAAAAAACAAATCATATGTATTTTCTACATATTTGTAGACCCTAAAATCGATTAAATAAGCCTTTGAAACCCCTAAATTGTCAAAATATTCGGGGCCTTCGCCCCCTGAACCACTTTCGGTACATTTTAAGCAACGCTCACCACGTCCACGTCGGCGCATCGTTCCCCCCCTCCCCGTCGGAGACCACGCACCCCCGTCGGGCAAATTCTGGCGCATCCCTGGTAATGAGTATTTTACTTTGTTTAAATATAACCTCGAATAAATTTTATTAAAACAGAGTTAGCTTTAATGAACTTTAATGAGAGTGTATATAGTTATTGTATGATGATTGGTTATTTTGGGACTTGAACATGCACTATAGAGTTACAAAATTTTCATTGCATCAAAAGTGTTAATATTATTTTATTTGCATTGTCATGACATTGACAAATACTTTTGGAGTTAAATCTGATTAATAGCTCCATGGTTAATAGCTCCAATAGCGTCATAGCTACAGTAGTAGGCCCATAGATGATGACGATATATCAATCCGTCGGTCGAGTGAAAATTTGGTCGCAAGCTGTTGAATTAAGTGAATTAAACCAACTTTTCTACGTATAGCTAAGTGAAATTGCCAAGCACAAAAAAGAAGAAAAAAACCCTTAAATACAGACATCTAGACACATTAGTCTAGATGTGTTAGTCTAGATTAGTCAACAGTAATTGTTGCCACACTATCATTGTACTATAGGCATGTATAATAATGATAATGACGGTTATAGAACGATGACGGCGATGGTAACGTTGACAGTGACTGTGAGGGTGACTGTGATGGTGACAATGGTGAGGGTGACGGTAAATGTGACGGTGATGGTGACGGTGAAGATGACAATGTTGGTGACTGTACTGGTACTGGTAATGGTATAGGCATTTATAATGCGCCTCTTCCTTGAGGTTATTATAAAGTTGTTTTCCCTGGTCGCTGGGTCCACATGCTCAGTGTTGCTGCTGGTAATCAGCGCAGGAGCAGGCAACCCCAACAGGTACCATTTATACTCCTGGGTGGAGAGACAGTGGCGGATCTAGGATTTAGCATTGGGAGTGGATAATGGGAGGTGAGAAGGGAGGGGCATCCCCTCACATTTGGGATTTTTTTTTGGAATTAGTAGACTGCTAGACGATCTTAGGTGGCATCTGAAAAGAAGTAAGCTTAAAATAGAAAGTGTATGTTTTACCAGAGTAAACGAGAAGCACACCAACAAGACGGGTGACCATTATTTTATTTTTCATGGTAAACGAAGAGGGGTGGCTAGCCACCCTATTTACCCCTCCCCCCATCCCCAGATCCGCCACTAAGAGAAGCAATGCGGATAAAGTGTCTTGCTCAAGGACACAAGCGAATTGCACAGCGAAGGATTGAAACCCCGACCTCGAGGTTGGGAAACCAAACCGTTCCCGCGCCAAACCGCTTCCACTGTGAAGTTAACGGCATACCTGTCAACCTTGAGAAATTTAAAAGAGTAAGATCGGGTGGCACATAATGAGTGCCGAAGGCACGAACAGTGGCTGAGGGCCAGGGAGACGCCAATGGTCCCTGGACGCTTCGGCTTAAATGGCATATCGTATTAGTGAGTATAATGATCTCAGATACAGTAGGAGGTAGAATGTTATGATGATGTTATAGTAAAATTCATTACAAATTGAAAAAGAAACAAAATTTACTCAAATTTTAGGATAAGCGTAAGTTTTGCCGGTGTTTGCGTAAGACCGTAAGATTTGATTGGAATGTGTAAGACTTTATGGTGAATGCGTAAGGGTTGACAGGCCTGGTTAGTAAATGTGACGGTGTTGGTGACGATGATGGTGAAGATGCTGTTTGATGGTAAGGCAAGCCTGCTCATGACAGAGGCTGCACGTCTTAAACTGCGGTGGTGGACCTTTCCTATCATTCGACACTATTTCTACTCCTCCTGTTATACTCCTACACTGGAGTCCTTAGGAGTTCGGCTTTACCCACCTGAACCAGATGAGGGTGATGGAGAAGGTGACGGTGACGGTGAATGTGACGATGAAGTTAAGATGATTGGTGACGGTGACGGTGATGTTGACGATGATGGTGATGATAACGGTGACGATGATGGTGACGATGATGGTGACGATGACGATGATGGTGCAGGTGACGTTGATGTTGAGGGTGATGTAATGATAACGGCGATAACGGTGATGGTGACTGTAACGATTATGGTGATGGTTACGGGGAATGTGAGTGTTACGGTGATGGTGACGGTGAGGGTGATGGTATGATCATGGTAGGATGGTGATACTGATAAGAATTAGTCTAAGCATTTATGTAGCCTATCACCGAGAATGTCATCAAGCACGTAACAGGAAATTTAGCCCTAGCATATAATATTTTTATTGGTAATTTATAAGTATTTCCTTAATCCCATTTTCAGAAATAAGTTAGTGCATTATTATGACATATATCTAACAGTAGAGTGATAAGGAAAGTTATTTAAAAGATTAGATCGACACTAATAGACCTAATACAAATAAAATGTTGCAATACCCAAATAGGTTTAGCCTCCCTCAAACCTTTGTAACCAAGGTCTAACCTTTGACAATTGGAGGTAGTCGGATGAATGGACTAAAATCCATTTTTGGAAATCTGCTTTCAATACCGAAATCGGAACACCGTTTTCTTGTCTGAACCTGTGTGTCTTCTCTTATGATTCCTAGATAGTCTTTAGTTGGCTCCATATTTTAAAACTTCTTTACACCGATGATATTTGAGTAAAATTTGTGGATCGCCCCAACAAGCAGCTTATCCGAGCTCCTCTCAACTGCACCGACAAAACATTATTAAAATTAGATAGGCAGCGATTGTGATGGCAATCTCAGTTATCAATTGTTCTCGGTGGTATTTACAAGGCCATTAAAGGAACAATGACACTTGAAAACTCTCGTAACACATTACCACCAATGCTATCTTTTTAAAGCAGGTGTGACATGAGGTGAAGCATGGCGCGCACATTATTGTATTTTTAAGGTGATCGTGCGCACATGGATGCAAATCTAATCACTCACTGGAACATATATATTAGAGGCAGCTAAGGTTGGGGAACTTATTATTTTAAATTTTCCAATACGGATGAATAATCACAATTAACTTAACCTCATCTCATTATGTGAGATTCATTTTGATAGATGTGTCTTGTAATTAACTGTAACATCTACTGTAGTACAGTGTGATATTAAAGAAAGTTTTTCTTGCTGTGATGATTTACTCAATTAAACCTGGCCTTGTGACTACTTTCAATGGTTAATTTTTTTCTTAATTATTTAGCAGTCGATAGGATGGCACGCAATATACTTCAAATACCCGGTCCTAAGCAGCCTAATCGCGGTACTAACTCCAAACAAGTGCTGTTGTTTAAGATAAGAAGAGACGTAAAATCGTTAAGTAAACTCACTGTTAAGTTTATCCGCTGTCTAGCATTCTTTTTTGAATCGTCGTTTTGGCAATCTGATTTTTGATTTACAAAGAGAAGGATTCTCCTTGTCGAGATTAAGCTATTACGATAAGCATCAAGATACAAGAAATGAAAATTGGACTTAAACTTTCTATATATATATATATATATATTATATATAGGCCTAAATATATATTCTTTTTTCAAATATATAAGATCGAAACAGTACTGTCTGCAAATTGGAAATATATATATATATATATATATATATATAGGACACCGAAGCCTACAAAAATATTTCTTTCGTTGCAATAGGGAAACCTTTACCGTGAACTATCAGTCATAAGTACCCTTATCCTACGTGAAGGGTTACACCTGTCTCTTATACACATCTAGATGTGTATAAGAGACAGTATATATATATAGGCATATATAGCGTGTACGGTCATATCTTAGTATGAGTTCATGCTAGGCCTACCATATTGAAGCTGAGGAGTACGGTACATTGTAGGACTAGGAGGTAAAATCTTAGGCCTTTATGCTCCTGGGATCGATAACGCGATGGGAAGTTTTGCTAAGTAGGACGTAAAATGTTGTGGACTTATGCATAGTATAGAACAGTGACCAAGGTTAACGCAGATCATGCATCAATCCTACAAATCGATATTGTGTGTTTTTAAAACTCAATATGATTGGTGCATTTAAAATAAATTAAGAATAAGCCGACTCTAATTAAGCCTGTCTAATTAATAGTGAATGTCAATAACATCATAATGAATTCGGTACATCATTTTAATCCGGACACCGAAGCCTACAAAAATATTTCTTTCGTTGCAATAGGGAAACCTTTACCGTGAACTATCAGTCATAAGTACCCTTATCCTACGTGAAGGGTTACACAGTTATAAAAGTCATGTAAACAAAGCAGCCTTGTTCTTTTGTAGTCACTGTGTGTGACATTATACTACAAAGGTAGTCTAATAGTTTTCGCGTTTTTTTACTATCTTATATAGGTGTAAATAATTTAGATTTGATGTATGTATGTAGCACACTTTATTCAAAAAAATGCCTGGCACGCACAAGTACCATGTATACCATCACCAAATGATTTTATATTGGCTACACAATCGAAAAATTTGGACGAACTGCTAAAAAAGTGTGTAGTGTCTCCTATTGTTTATATAGGCTTACAGGTACATTGATGATGCAATATACTAGTATGCTTATTTATCATATTAAATGCCCAATCACCACCAGAAGGACTCTTCTACGTGGGTTATCTTTGGTGTTTACACTGAATACATCCAATCCATTCGTATATTGCTCCATTATATCATTAAAATTTTGAGATTGATTAATAAAGATGTTCACGAATAAGCATATAAATCAGACGACCATTGAACAATGAAAACTTAACCCATGCATAACAGTTTTGAATTACCTTAGTTACACTGTTTCCCCATTATTATTGTTACAGATTTCCTTAACGACAACAACAGTGTAGCAGTGAACATGTAAGTACGGATTAAGCCTACTTTCGTAAATTCCAGATAATACACTCACCTTAAAGGTTATAATTCTCAGGCGCCGAATGCTGCCAAGAATATAGCCTATTTTTCTAGGCCTACATTTTTTATGTGAGACCAAAATGTGTTTTCAGGCTAAAATGCGATGCGCTAGTTTAGTGTCGTCTGCTATCGATAATTTTGTTTGACGATTTGCCTGGATTCAATGAACCGGTTGTTCGTCTACTCAAAAGAAAGATTGAGGTTCAATTCATGCTTCACAAAGACGATTTTGTGATTTAAATGAAGTACTAGTATACAGCGCCGCCTTGTGTTTATCTTTATAACAAATCAATACAAAAGTTAATTTTGCTGACATCGTGTTAGGCTTATATATAAGTGGGTCTAGGACTCGCAATGTTTAACTAGTTGTCTCTAATCGGATCCGAATTCCAAACGAATCTCCAGTTGTCCAACTGGTACCTGTAAATGTTACTTCATGTAAAGCGTGAAGTCTCTTTTTGATAACTAGGCAGCAGGGGTGATTTTTTTTTCACTCTTGCAGATTCTTCTTTAATATTTACAATTTATACACATTTATGCATAATTATTATTTACTAATATCTCTTTGAAAAGCCTGTTTTGTTTTCAGATTTTAAGAAGAGGGCGGGTCTTAATGGACTTTATTCCATGTGTGCGCATTAAAAATAGTTTATAATGATAAAAGTGACTATATAGCATATCCTTTATCCATCTCTCTATCGAACCTGGCAATTTAACAAATCAATTAATTGTTGTGACCAATCAATTATACTTTGCTCATTTCCGTATGAAGCTAGACATAATTACTCCAAGTAAAGTTCCCCTTAATATTGTTCAACCCGACGATCACTCTGTTATCTCCTTTCTTTCCCATCAGAAATTAATATCCCTGTCTCTCCGTCATATAATCTTCTTTTTTCTAGGCAATAATCGCCTGTTTATATAACTTTTCCTACAAATTCTTTTGTGTTATTCTTTCAATTCCGTTCACACTCCCTCCTACACGGAGTCTCGTGGGTATATCTGTGTTCATCTTAGATGTCACTATTGAAGTGTTCTTGCACTAGTCTTTCTCAATCATTGTTGTTATTCTTGATTATTGTAACATAGTTTGTTGTTATGCTGATGTTAGCCCGTTATGAATTTTGAAATGAATCAGAACGTGATATTCAGTTAACTGTCTTATGATCATGATACTTTTTTTGTCAAAACATAAAAGTACATAACAAGACTTGATGGCAATATGATTCTCTATACTTGTTCATTTAACATTAAATTGCATATCATTGTTATTATTATATTTTTTATAAAATGTACGGCCTATGATAAAGGCTATGATATATACTATTGTCAGCCACTTCTTTCAATCTTTGAATTTCTTTGTGTAATGACATAGTTGTTTTTGAATGATGATAATTCAGTGAATGATATTTATATACATCACATTTTACAAATATACTGGCTCTGTTAAGATCTGAATAGCCTCTTTATGAATATGAGGCAAACAACCTTTTCGCTTATTTACAAACCGTTTACTCTGAAAATCGTTAAATTACCAGCCAATGCTTTAACTTATGAATATAAGAACTGTATATTATTTGTGCGTCTATTAATTGGCGAGAAAAATATTTTATTTGTAATTTGAATCTAATTTTAAGTTGAAATTATAAACATACATAGATATAAAAATAAACATTATAATAGTATATAATTTTAACTTTGACAATATTATTATAATATATAATTTTAATTTAGACAATAAATAGGCCCAAAATTTACTACGGTAATGATTTTTTCCTATATTGGTATTTCAATATCAAATTAATAACTCTACTTCGATATCGAACTGCATTTCTATATAGCACAATAAAACAGTTATTTCGTATTAATATCAACGAATTAATGTCAAATATGTAGGCCTAATTTCCTTTCTTAGGAACATTGTCATTTGTAAGACCAACATTGTAAACTAGAAAGACGTTGTTACGATAGTTTTACAACAGCACTCATTAGACACACAACTTTAAATTTACTAAGGCTTATATTGATTTCTCTATGCCTATGCCAATTTGGGAAAACAAAACATACTGAAATGAAATCACGAACTTATATCATTGTCTACAAAATCATCATATGTCCCTGTATCAACCTCATATTCACGTACTTCAGTTTTGATGTTAAATCGCACCGTCCTTGGTTTATTTCCATTATTATCGGTTTCCGATACTCTATCTCCATTAAAACAGTCATCATGGACGATAATTGATGTGTATTCTCTTAATATAGGCTGTGATTTTTCCCTTTTTGTTGTAAAAGTTCCAGAGGAACCAACTGACTTAATTTTAACAGTTTGTAAATCTCCCGATTTCTCTTCTTTTTTGGATCTGTATCCTTTAGGACTTTTCTCCTTCGGCCTAACCCCTTCGATTATGAAAGCCCCAGCAGACCTATCTTTTCCCACCCTCCCCAGAATTACTTTGTCAACATAGCTTGGCTCAGACTGGATTGTTGATATAGTTAGATTAGTTTCAGGTTGTTCTGGCTTCTTCTGAATTTGTTGTACATTCTTGGTATTTTTTACTGATGGTTCAATTTCTGGTTGAGTTGGTCCTTTGTGCATCTGGGGTAAGTATTTACACGTTTGTTTAGTGTTCTGACTTTGTTTTAGCTTTGGTAGATGAATCTTAACGTTAGCTTTCCTTGAATTGAAATTTCGGTTGATATTTCCAAGTACAATACTTGACTCTCTCTTAATTCCGGTAATTCGCGCAACTTCACGCGAGTTCATCAGATCCATTCCAGTTACATCAGCCAGCTTAAAATTATGCTTAGGTTTTATTGCAATTTTCTGTTGAATACTAGGCATGTATGCATATTCATCTTCTGATGTACCATCACGCATTTTTCCTGTGTGTTTTTGTCTTTGACTATAGTTATTCCTTGTAGGTGCCAAGACGATTGGTGGCATTTTCGGCGCGCCATTAGTCTTCATGGCGCTTTTATAGAAGCGTGATTGTTCGCGTTTGAGTTTCATACACTGCGTAACATCGATGTCGTATTTCCCCCACTGGCTTTCCCATACACTGCCGGCACTATAATTCTTATTGCAAGTTAAATACGAACTGGTCCTAGATTTAATCAGACTGTTTGCTAATTTTCCACTCATAAAATCTTTAACATTTTGAAATACGTAGTCCTGCGCAGCTTCGTTCTGATGTATCCTAGGAAAGGTACCAGTGTTAACAGCGTTAATGCGAGACTGTGTTTCCTTCTTTTTCTTAAGAATTTGGAACTCTTTTGTTGTAATATTGGTAGTTCTTCCTTCCATGCCCATAAAGTAATAAAAATCGAGTCAAGTACCCCTTTTCCTGCTATGTTTGCGTCGGTAGGCCATGTTGTGGTTGCTGTTAGTTTTGGGTCTATCACTTTCTATATTCCGTAATGCATGTTAGCTGCCAGGATAGGCCTACGGTGCTGATATTACTTCTTGGGCGTCCGTTATCCTATACCTGAAGCGTCAGTAGAATAATTTTTAATAGGTCTTTTAGTTAGAATGAACCTTATACAACAAAATACTATGTTTCTATAACGACGGTAACTCAAAGGTTAACTATCCGTATCAATTTGTTTTCAAGGAGCACGGAGTTTGGTAATTGAGATTGATTACGATTAGTAGTTTGCCCGGCTAAGAAATAATTAACAGAGTCACTTTGAGAAATACAAGTAGACATACACTTGATCCTAAATTGAGTCTCATTGTTTGAACGTTGATAGTGGAATAACAAGTCGAGACATTAGGCCAAAGATTTTTAATTAGGCCTATGTGAAAATGAAGGGAATTTCTGAAAAAGCATCAGCGTTGTAAGTGATCATAATATACGATCTCGCTTGATCTACCCGATGTAACATCACTCGAGCTGAACTAGCCTTTTTATGGAAGCATACTTCTCATATTTTCGAGTTATATTAAATCTCTGCTTTGGTGTTGCGGGTGTTTTACTTCCTACACCTGGTGTCATACCAGTCTGTAAAATATATAGGTGCTATAGTTATTACATACAATGACATAGTTTTAAATAGGCCTATTTTTATAGATAAGCCTATCTAATTCATGATTGCAAGATTTTTCTTGCTACGATTCCCGCCGCAAACCGCTCTAGCTCTATCAATTCGACTTTCTATGGGTCTACTACACAGAAAATATTGTTTTTTTAGATGCATTTTGATTTTTATATTTTATGTTATCGAATCGATATTGCTCATTAGTTCAATAAATAGAATAAAACAAAGGTTTAAGGAATATTCAAAGTACGGTACCCGGTTAATCTAAACAAAAATGTAAGAATGACATAAAGTAGAATGGCCTATTTTAAATCTTGGAGTGCCTAGTATTAGACCTACTTTAAAACCGTCATAATTAGAATATCTGTTTGTTAACGTAATTATATCTGTAGCCATACACATTTTAAGTTTCGCTATAATTTTTATATTAAAATTTTATACATTGTAAGCATATCAGTAATTAGTGTTTTTATAAATCCCCTCAAATTATGCTGTAAATACCTGAAAAAGGCCACTTGATGTGGTTGCTGGATGGACTTCGCCAAGTATATTGCTGATCTGTTCTATGTTTGCGAACAACGCAATGATAAATTACACATTCTCTCTAAGATACAACGATGTTTGCGAACCACGGACGAGATGTACAATCAGCAACGTCTGTAGTAGCACTAAAGTGCTTTTATATTTACCAACTTTGGAATAATTGTGAGGCTCTCAGCCCATATCGTAAGTTACCGTTGACAAGATTGGATGTTATTTTAAGTATGTCTATCATAATTTAAGGTCCCTGGGCAAAGTAGCAGCGCTCGATATTCATGCATAAGGTTGTAGTGAGTATATTTAAACAGTGCAAATCAGAATGTGACCTATACAAAAGATATAAAACACGGATACAGACAAATATTGAATTGTATTTTCGATCGAATGACGAGCCAACACCTTATCACGATTAACAGCCCAAAAGCAGGCCAAGTTACAATTTCTGAGCGTAGTCATGAAGTGAGTTTTTGTTTTAACCTGGTCTGTAATGTGTAATTTATTATCTCCGACAAGGAGATTATATATTCATTGCTGTTTGTCTGTCTTTCTGCCCTTTTGTTGGCAGGATTGCGCAAAATCAAATGAAAGAATGATCATAAAATGTAGTAGAGTGGTACATATTTTTTAAAAAGATTTTTTTTTTTAAGAATTACCTTTAATATTATTGTTTTGTCAACATAATTTAAATAGTTTATCTTTGTCAAAATGTTTTTGATTCATTTGCTTAATCTGCCCACGACCATTTTTTCTGTATTTATTTTGTTATTGGTATTGATCTAAAAAAGAGGTAATTAAATTTTGGGGTTAAGAACGTAGAAGTTCGAAGAAAGAAGCTAATTCCTCAAGCATAAAAGATAAAAATATAATCGCACAAATTAAACGGGGAGTATGCACTCTGCAGTGACTGCACTGAATTAATTACGATTGGACTATTATAAGATACATATGAAATGTGTATAAATTTAGATTCTAAATACTTATTTTCAGTTCATGCTTAAACTTATGGTGCAACGCAGAATGATTATTTGTTTGTCTAGCTTTTCTTCTCAATAGCTACTACCACCAGGGGCGGATCCAGAATTTTCAAAGGGTGGGGGGGGGCACAATATTTTGTTAGATAAGTACCCTTCCCCGTTCCCCCTACTTTATCCTCTAGGCCTACTGACTACTACTACTACTCTACTGCTGTTGCTGTACTGCTGCTTCTACTGCTACTACCGCTATGCTACTGCTACTGTTGCTGTTGATGCTACTGCTGTTACTACTAATCTAATAATAATAATATGAATAAATATAATAATTACAAATATGACTATATATAAAGTGGCATTTTCTGACAAATCAGTGTTATGACCAGCACAACTGATACAACTTTCCACGTAAACACTTGACATTTTTGGGGTTCCCCACGACCAATCGCACTACAGGAAGTTGATGATCAATATTTATTTTATTGTGAGCTCAGAATATTGCCGACCTGGCGTTGTCACTTGTATACAACTTCATTTGAATTGTTTCCGTTTATGTTATTACAAAAAGGGGAAAACATAATAATGCATTGGCGTTCCCGTGTAACCTTTTACAATTACAAAAGTTGAAAGGCTTGCAATAAAAAAATGTAAAATTATGTAAGTATTTATAACAAACGTACTTTATTCGTAAAATTATGTATTAAAATTAAGGAAGAAAAGTGGAATTTATCAAACAGCGTAACTCTACCTCAGTATAATTGAAACAAATGATCTACATTTTATTTAGATAGGCTGGGTCTAACATTTGTAATGAAGTACAATGGTTTGATGGCCATTACCAAGAAATGCTTTGGGGGAAGCGTCAACCCCCTTTGTGTTAGGTGGGAAAGGCTTATTATTGCTACGCCTGTATTTGGCATGTTCAACTGTTAGCGTCAATATCGACCACACGATTTTAAATAATCATACCCTGGTCGAATAATAATAAATGCTGGTACAACTTATTACAACCAATATCAAAATTTGTAAACTGAACATTTTGGTGGGTTAATAGTAAAAACGAGTAGGCATACTGTCTGATTGGTTTATAAAAATGGTAGTTGACATACTTTACAGATGATAATATAACACGAAATAATAATAGGCCTCGAACATATTATGTGGGTCTATGTGCCGCACATGACTGCCATTATAAATCTCTTCTGCAAACTATGTTTTAATTGTAACTTTGATAGGATTAGGGTTGTGGGAATATGTTCAATTTTTTGGAAGTCTATTAAATAAAGTGTACATATTTCATGGCATCCCAATATTAGTTTTAGTATAATTATAATATTAGCGTTAGGGTTGATATATTAACTATTATGATCAAAATAATTAGCCCTTATCAATGTTACATAAATGTTATTAATCCTAATATTACGCTTATGTTTATCCATATCATTACCTTCTTATAGACCCATCGAAATGGAGGAAGGACGGATGAGTTAAAATCAAAACAGAAACCAAAAAGTGGAAATAAATTAAAGATTCACTAACTATCTGTAAATATTCACCTCTGTGCAATAATTCCGCTGGCTTCTGGACCCCATTGGAAATAAGTGTGGTGCTAACCTGGGTGGATGGGTTATCCAGGCATTCAATTATTTTTTTCTCTTTTATATCTGTATGTATTTTCTCTTGATTTTATTGTAATGTGTAACACTGAATGCAAAATAAATCAAATCAAATAAAAAAAAAAGAGAAAATAGGCCCTAATCATTCAATTCCATTTCATGCATAAACATAATTATCAAGGTAATTATTTTAGAAGCTTAACAACACCAGCCTCCGTACGTTACCTAAATATGTTCAAACCTGTAACAAAAAAATATAGGGTATGCATCCAACCAGTGCCGGTCCCAGGATTTGCCCGACGGTAGGGGTGGGGTGTAGGGCTAAGCTGTTCAACAAGGGGTCTAAAAATTTCGGACGCAGAGACAGCGGAGTTGGAGCCATGGGGCTCGCTTCAAACAGAATGTGCAATTTTGGTTAAAAGCTGTTCTAATACACGTTTTAGTATGTCCAAATATTTCTTTAAAAAATGAAAATAATATGTTCTTTTATATTTTTTTTGACGACTTGTGTCCGATGGACAGGAAAGGGGGAACTTGGTCTGTTCGACGTCGGGTGGGGCTTACTCTCTTTCCTGCTGGCCCCGACATTGCTTCCAACCCGATTGGGCATATAGAGTCCTAGCATTCAACTCAACTTCAGGAGTCTCACGGTCATATCGGAAAGGGTTGCCACATTCTAGTATAGCATTGCATTTTCAAGTTCCTTCTTCCAGTAATGTGCATCTTCCATGATCTTGCTAAACGTCACCGACGTATTAAACACCTCCATTGCATGATCCGTCTTAAAATATTCCTTGCTTGGCGCTTCCATAATATTCAGACCTTCTCCGTCATCAACTCTCTTCAATACGTATTCGAAAGAAAATACAGAGTCATGTCGTCTGAATTTAGTGATGTTCTGTATCGGCCATCTTTTGATGTCTGATTTACCTTTGAAATATATGTAAGTGGCCGTGACTTTTAGATTTCCTGCAATGAAAAAAGGGTTTTAAAAAATCCTGGTATCACACAGGCATGACATAACCCTGTTTAATATGACGATGATGATGAATATGATAATGAGGGGGAAGATGATGGTGGTGTTGATGTTGATGATGATGATGATGATTATGATGATGATGATAATGATTATAATGGCGATAAATTCATGACGTCTATAATTATGATCGCAATGAGGATGTGCCGATTATTATGCCGATGATGGTTTTATAATAAGAATGGTGACAATGACGACAACAATAATTATGATTATTCCAGCAAACACTAAACGATATTTAGGTTTGCAAACGTTGTGTTTGGGCCTGTGAGAAAATAACTTTAGTACAAAGTTGCATCAAAACTTTGCAATGTTCTTTAGCTGTGAAATTTATAATATGGTTCTACAAAAAATAAAAATAAACCATTTTGTTCACCAAAATGATTACGTTAATTATGATAATGATGATGGTTGTGATGGCAACAACGGGTTTCATAAACAAATAACGCAGCATCTTGGTTTATGGTTTAGTGTCATCAACAGTAGACTTACCGATTTCGCGCACAACCGGATCTTGTACGTTCAACAATACCGCCTTGTACCACAAACTTCCACCAATGGGCGTTAAGACTGTCTGATGTTGAACGATTCCTCCACTGTTTCCCATCCTACCCATGGATACTTTTGTTGCTTCTATGACCAACTGTAAGTTTGCCCCACGATTGGTGTTAGCAACATCGTGGTCTTGTAATGGGGTAACTTGTTCTACACTTTAGAATTAAACAAAAATAATAATGCAAACTACAATATAATTTAATACAAGAAAACAAATTTCGTTTGTTTGGTGAAATGAGTTTTTCCATGGTTTATCTCAGTATAAACAAATCAAAATCAAATGTATTGGATGTACACTTGAACAGTGGAACAAACCATTAAGGTAGTAAAGAAAATATTATAAGTATGTAAAACTACTTTAATTTAAAAATTCATCAGACTAGCAATTACATACGGTACATACTAAATTATAAATAAGATCAATCTATTGGGTGAACAAATTAGAATAAATATCACAGGGAACATAAACAAAATGAATCGTATTCATCATGGGAATAATAAGAAGAAACGAACTAGTGAAAATATTTGTAAAACGTGCAAACATTTAAAACTAATTGTGGTGCCTATCAAAGTCCAATTAAAATGTTTTGTAGTAGTGATTGACACGAAACATTGACAATAAATATAAATGAAATAAATAAAATTAACAATTAAATAATCAGCTATTAAAATTCATAAGGGCAAAGTGCATCCCTACCTTCAATTCGTTCTTCAATCAGTCTCACTATTCACAGAATGAACAACGCTAGCTTCAAAGGAAAATCATCAACATCAACAGCTGCAAAACTGAATGTGTCTGTATAATTTTGCGAAAATCCCATGATTTTAGCAAAATGATTTCACTGTGCGGACTTCACAAAATCCGATTATTAGAACAATAGATAACCGTCGATTGAATAGCAGGAGTGGTTTCCGTTTGATTTAATGTCACCTCACTAAAAAATCATCGATCGTTTGATAACAAAAACTGACACGGCATGATTGCCACCCAAATAAACAAATTACATAATTATTATTATTGTCATAATTATCGTTATATTATTATTATTATTATTATTATTATTATTATTATTATTATTATTATTATTATTATTATTATTATTTGTGGGCTACTTAACATTAAACAGATAATACAGGGGCGATTTAGAGGGGATGGGTGTCCCGTGCACCACCACCTCCCCCCTTTTTAAAAGTCCAAAAACAAAAGAAAAAAAGAAAAAGAAAAAATTGATCGCTCAGAGGTTATTTTTAGGCGTCTAGAACACACACATTTCGTGGGGGAATTCCCCGGACCCCCTAGGGGTAGTATTATCTCGATTGGCCCCACTTTCGGCCCACTTTTGGACATCTCTGGATCCGCTCCTGATTATTATTATTAATTATCGTTATCGTTATTATTATCATTATGATAATGATGATGATGCTGATGGTTGATCACCATCATCCTCATTAACATCCACATCGCCATTGATAATAGGCTACACCTCGGTCGTTTAATTGACGCTTTATAGGCTTAAATGCCCATATTATTATAGGCCCTATTATTATTATTATTATTATTATTATTATTATTATTATTATTATTATTATTATTATTATTATTATTATTATTATTATTATTGTTGTTGTTGATGTTATTGTTGTTTTTATTATTATTATTATTATTATTATTATTATTATTATTATTATTATTATTATTATTATTATATTAACTTAATCATTATATTATTCCTATTATTGTTGCATTACCATTGGCATTATCACTGTCGTTGTCATGTACAGTCCATATGGGTAGACTCTATGCGCCTTCATAGGGGAAAGAGTTGGTGGTAAACGGAGTGGTCACACAGAGTGAGTTATAGTCGCCACTATGTCATACGTTGTGATAGTCGTGCCCGACCGCATAGTCGTGCCCGGCCGCATACTGTGTTATTGCGTAAACAAAAGTATGAATTTTACTGTAGTAACAATTATAAAAAGGCCTTACGAATTGGATAAATTATCAATAGATCAATTATTGATAAAATTAAATGTTTTATTCACTATCTGAATCTATAATTTCTAGATTTAATTTTAAAGTACTAGATGAACTAATTCGCTGGGATTTTATAATTATGAGATTGGCAAAATTGATAGAGTTTGCTTTTACAACATACCGTGAAAAAAGGTTAAAGGTCCTTTAATTTGTCAACAAACCAACCAACGAGTGAAGATTGTAAACGTGTGGACTGGAAATTTATAAAATGACACGAATCGCAAGGAAAAAACAGCATCGTGGTTATACACATCTACAGAAGAAATATAGGACAAGACGGAAAACAAAAGATCTTGACCAAATTCATGAGGACTTGGAACTCAACAATAAAGAGAAGCTGCTTCATCAGACCATCGATTACGATAAACCTGGCTCAGGCCAGTTCTACTGCTTAACATGCGCGTAAGTGCCTCCTCTGTGTGCCGCTGTGATGCTAGACCTAACCAGGGCCGCTAGCTAGATAGTACAGTAGTAGCCTAGGCTTGATTGATAATTATAAATATATAATTGCTACCCTCAATTTGAAGCGAATAAAGCTTGCTGCTGTTGTTGTCATTTACAGACACAGCAATAATAATAATACATGGAAACCCAAAAACCTGCCAGGCAGTTGGGGCAGTTACTGTAGATAGTATCATATCAATCTGTTTGGTCCACTTTACTTGAAAATCACCCTATCTCTTAACCACAACATATCTTCAAAAACGTTAATTGTTTTACTTTTACTATAAAAGCAGTAACTCAAAAACTAGATGTCGGATAAATTAAGTTGAAATGGTTTAAAGGTTATAAATATACCTATAAACAAACAATTTACAAAATATTTCTTTTCAAGTATTTCGCCCTATCATTTTTTGGGTTGAATTACGAAACTATAGGCTATATAAGTGTATTTTCAGTGGGATTTAAGCTGGCCTGTGAGGAGTCATAACTGTACATATACTAATCTGATCGCTTAGGTGGAAGCGGCAACAGAAAGCAAATTTTCTTGTGGTCAGATACACATAATAATTAAACTGAATAAAATTTTCTTCCTTAATTTTTAAATTTAATCAAAGGCTTTCATGAAAATATGTCAGGGCTCACAGCCGGCCCAGGGAATTGATGTGTTCCATTTTCTAAACTGAAGAAACGGTACCTGCTGTATCAAAGACTTGTTAAAATTCATTAATTAAATGAATATGTTTGATAGTGGACATATCTTATTTCTAAAGTGTTATGCAGAAATTTGAAATGTATTTTAATTTTGTTTCACTAATGATTGATTATTTAAAAAAGTGTATTTTTATATACCCTTTTTGAATAATGAAATCACCCAAATGCTGCACTGAGCAGCTCGCTCAATCTGTTCATTTTTATCTTTCTTACACGTGTGCAGTATTAATGTTTTGTTATGTGGTCGAAACAGCCCAAACAAATTGATATGATTCTTTCTAAGATAGAATTTAAAGAAAAATAAGGACATTTACGTGATGATTAGTGAGGGCGCACTCCAATCCTATTTGCCAAATTCTAGTTGGTATTAAAACTTTAGACTGAATTTGGTTTGTGTGGAAATTGGTCTGTATTGTAAATAGCTGTGAATTTAAAGACTATAATATAGAAATACAGGACTACTGTAATAGTACTACATACTACACTGCATATTCTACATACTATACTAATAAAAGTATTGGAGTGATTTATTGCAATATAGGATGTAAACGAGGCAGAAAGGAAAATATACAATTTGCACAAATGTGCTTATGTGTGCACTTCAACGATACAGCCATAAATACATTAAGATCAGCAGTTAGTGTGCCATTCATGATATATTTGCAAGAACCGTACTTCTCCATATACAGTATATCCATACAGTATGTAAAACTAAGATGTCAGGGCTTTTGGTTCATGAAACATAATGAGTCATAGTTTAATCATATTGTAGTTTAGTGTAATAACTGTATTGAGATTTTATAACATTAATTAGTATTATGAATAGCTCTCAGTTGAGTTCAAAGTAAAAGAAATTTATATATGCTATTCAGCTTTGACTACAAACATTTTTGTAATGTATTTATAGTATGCACAATTTATAGTATTCAAATAACATTTGCATACTGTACAATAAATAACCAGTGTTTATTTAATTTCTATGTTATTTTCCAGGAGATACTTCATCAGCAAAAATGCTTTACATGAACACTTTCGAACAAAACTACACAAAAGAAGGTAATTTTTCTCAGCAGTGTGGGGGCCGTCCCGATTTCCAGGACACTTTGTACCCCTGCATTATGGTTACTTGCATAGTTAGTTTGTTTCTTTGTTTCAGAATGTCACATTGTATCTTAGCAAGTCCATAGACCTACATGTCTGTCTCTTATACACAT